TCATCGGGACACGCACTGTCCCAGCTTAACACACTGGCGGCGATTTGAAAGGAAGCTACAAATCCAAGGGATTATTGAACGGCGCACTCCCAAATCGATCAATTTTGTTATAACAATATTGTGGTCTATTCTATCGAAAAGATCGGAAGAGTCCAGAAAGCAAGCTCTAAGGTAATGACCTGGGTTGTCCATTTTAGAAAGCCAGTTGTGGATAAGATCTAGAAGGGTGGTAGATGTTCCCTTCAGGCTGCCATACTGACGATTATCGATTTGTCCACCTATGTCCTCAACCATCCAACTAACCACAAAGTCTTCGAGTACTTTCGATAACACAGGGGTAAGTGCGATGGGGCGGGTATCGCTCTCAACCTGGGTTTGTTTCGCTTTAGGAATGGGTATGATGGTAGAATCTTTCCATAAAACAGGTACTAGTCCAGAGGACAAAGATGTATTAAATATTGATGTAACTGACTCAGCAAGTTCGTAGGCGAACTCTTTTAAAATTCGTGGTGGAATACTGTCCGGGCCCATAGCCTTATTAGTCTGAAGTTTTAAGAGCTTACTACAAACCTCATGAGGATGAATTGTAGGAGGCGGCACCCAGCTGGTAAGAATGTTGGAAGGCTTGAAATATCAAGTGGTGGGATATCACTTGCTACACTTACGAAATAATCATTTAGAGACTCTGCCAGTTCACCTTCCGATAATAACTGTCCGTCACGCTCAATTGTAAACGGAGGTTGACTTTTCGCTCTACCTGACATTGTGTTAATAGTGTGCCACCATTGACGGACATCGTCTTTTCGCAAGTTATGGATTTTTTGGGTATAGAAATTATTTTTCCTAGTTTTAATCTCTATCTGGACCTTCCGTCTGTAATGGCGCCACAATTGCGCGTCGCCAGTGTGGAAAGCACGTTGGCGTTCTTTAATAAGTTGCTTTATGTGCCCAGTAATCCATGGTTTGTCCGTGGGATGAAATTTGATTGTGTTCACTGGAAAAAAATGATCGAATGCAGTGTTCAGATCATTGGTAAAAGATGACGCTAACTCATCCGACGATGGATTGAGTCCGAGTCCACTAAACCATTTATTCCTGGTTGACCATAAACCAAAACCATTCAAACCTGACTGAGGATACCGACGCACAGTGCGCTTTGTACACGCATTATTATTATCCTTAAAAATGTCTTTTGGGATCCACATGATTACGTTATGGTCCGATGTTCCAAGTGGAGCAGAAATATCCGGTGTTTTGTAAAAGGATTTCAAGTTCGTAATAATATAGTCTAAGATTGAATCTTGTCTAGTCGGACCATAGATATCTTATATACACTAGATAGTGCATCTAATTATTCTGCAATTCAAAAATTGAAGCCGTGATTGCAGGCTCAGGATATTCCCATGAAATGAGAAGATTCGTATGTATCCTATTTCTTAAACAGGGAACTTAAACATTAAGTTAATCCTATTATAAATACATTTTCAAACTATTCAATTGATGAAAGTTATTGTTATTTTTTAAGCGTTTATTAGCGAGTGGGAAGCTCCAACATGGCCGCCATCTATTCAAATGGGGGTAACCGCTGGGATATTCTTGGCTTCAATTTTACTAAAAGAGATGCGCTATCTAGTTTATATAAGATATCTATGAGTCGGACGCGTGACGACTTGCTTAAGGTTGTGACTTGTAACTAAATCCTGTATATTGAGACGATTAAAATCGCCTAAAACGACTATGCCACAATCAGGGTATTTAGAGCGTATAGTATCAATAGAGGACACAAGGTAATCGCAAAGTTCCCTCTGTTCTTGCACACTTTTGTCCGGTGGATTATACACTACACATACTGCGATTGCAGATAGCGGTCTCGGTAGGCGTGGTGGTCGAGCCCACAACCACATACACTCTAGATTTAAATCTTCTAATTCCAAGTATCGCGTAATGGATATCTGCTGAGACACATAAACGCAAACCCCACCCCCACGGCCATGTGTCCGGTCCTTACGATGAATTACATAACCACCAATCGATATTTGATCGTCCCCTACAGTTGTATCAGTCAACCAAGACTCCGTAATTGCGGCTATATGAACTTTGTTGACGGACATAAATGCTGCAAGTTCATCAACCTTTCCATTAATTGAGCGTGCGTTCAAGCAGCAAATTCTCGGGAGTATAGCTTTATTTTGTTTTTTGTTTTTTTCATTATAATTATTTGTGTATCTAATACGGGTTAGATTGTTATAATTGACACCTCGCGTTTCTGTACGCCTTCTTTGCCTCACACGCGGCAACCAAAATTACGTGACGAAACTCAGACTTCTATTTGCTCCATTATACATAAGTTGAGAACTTCCCGTGATGGGTAATATTAGATCTAATTTCTCCTTTTGATTGCCAAATCTTGCAGTTGACAAACTGAGGCCAGAAATTTTGTTGTTGCACTAACGAACAATCGGCCGAACGAAAATGAATTTTAGCCGATGTCGTACCTTTTCTTTTGCTTGGAAAAACGGAAATATATGTAGGTGTTATATTCCGTTGTTTCAGATAGGAAACAATTTGACATTCTTTTACGTTTTCAGCTATCCCGCTTAACAGGAATTTCTTAACTCTGTTACGTCTCCGGTCAACACCAATAAACCCGTCAGCAGAGTCACTAGATGGATCATTGATTATTTGCAGAGAATTGTTTTGGGATTTATTGGTAGGAGATTTTTCAAGTGTGTTGCAGGTATTAAATGCAGGGCTAGATGTCACTACCTCCGCAAAAGTGGCTTGATTGTTGTTTCTTACTTGTTTATTATCGTATTTAATAGAGGTTGCAACTTCTGCTGACACAATGGGATTATTACCATGCTTATGCTTTAGATTGTCATTATCAGTTTCAATGAGGTTTAATGGGTTTACCAGGATAACAGGGTCATTAGTCTCGCCCTCGTTTACATTGCACTCACCCCCATTGTTCGTCGGCCTCCCCCACGCCCCCATGATCAATGTTGGAAAAAGTGGGTTGAATTTTCTCTTTTCATCATTCACACAAGATTGAATTGGGGGTGAGGGGGGCATTTATGCGGTTGACTCAATAATTTTTGCTCCTCAGGATTGTCTCTATTTGTACTTTTGAATGAAATGTAATTCGTTCATGTTGATTCAACTTAGTGCTCCAGGGAAGACGCTGACTTGGATTTCTTGCTTAAGGTAGGTGGCTCAATACAGTTTTTAAAAAAATGGAAAATTCACGATTAGATGCGTATTTTTGGACAGATACTACTTGTTGATAAACAAAAAGTGCCTTACTGATATAAAACAACATCTAAAGAGTTTGAATTTTTGCACAAAAGTTACGCAACTGCCGTTGCTATGGCAACAATGACGTTTCAAGATGGCGGATATTTTGGCTTTAAAGTAATTTAACTCGTAAACAACATCGGTGACCCCCAAATTTTATTTTAAAAAATGATTTCTCTTAGTATAATCAATTATTTTGACAATTTAAAAAAAATTCTGTGGGGCCGAAATTTTTAAAATTACGTAAAGATTAATATTCATAATAATTTTTTTTTGGCTCCACAGAATTTTTTTTAAATTGTCAAAATAATTGATTATACTATACTAAGAGAAATCATATTTTTAAATAAAATTTGGGGGTCACCGATGTCGTTTACGAGTTAAATTACTTTAAATCCAAAATATCCGCCATCTTGAAACGTCATTGTTGCCATAGCAACGGCAGTTGCGTAACTTTTGTACAAAAATTCAAACTCTTTAGATGTTGTTTTATATAAGCAAGGTACTTTTTGTTTATCAACAAGTAATAATTGTCCAAAAATACGCATCTAAATCGTGAATACGCATCGTGAATTTTCCATTTTTTTTTTAAACTGTATTGAACCACCTTAGAAAAGCTTCTTTATTTTTGCCTCCTTGCAGAATTTCTACATTTTGGGGAACAAAAAACTTTCGGTCAATTGATTGAAATATGTCAATTTCATGTCAACTTGATCACTAGATTTTGGCAGAATTTCAAATTTTGGACAGCTAACCTCCAGACAGCTCCATCTCAGACAATCGCGTGCTAAAAAATTATTATTATTATTATTATTATTATTATTTCAGCAGCAACATTACTGCATAAGAGCGACGTACTATATTTTTTGCTGTCGAAACCAAGAGTGGACAAACCCTGAATTGTTAAACATTTAAATTAATAACTACATATAATAATATATATAATCATATACCCATTTTATTCTTGTTTTTACTGTAAATAGTACATATGTAGTACTCTGTGATTCATGTAGCCAATTGTAAATTACCTAAGTCAGTAGTGAGATTTACAATTGTATATATACGTAAAAAATTCAATAAAGTTTTCATTATTATTAATTTCCAAACTAGCAGCAACAACTGAATTACTTTGGAATTACAAGGTATAAGAACATAGGTCATAGGTATTCAATCTATTCTATACCAGTTACAGGTAAAAATAGGTAAGTTAGATAAAAATTACGATAATAAACTAAAGTTTACTTATTATTATCAGCACGAGACGCAGCAGAAATCGACGAATGAAACTGTTCGAAACACGTTCAGTACTACAGCTAAGTACTAATACTGGAATAAGACCTCAGATCATAAGTTTGAAATTTTTTAGGCGGTACTAAGACTAGGCTTCTACAGATTATGCTCCGCAACTTTTTGGCAACTTTTTGCATTTGGAGCAACTTTTTATGAAATCAGCAACTTCAAACAATTTTCTCCAGGAAATGCATAATTTTTGGAAATTTCTGGCAATATAGACATGTTGCTAATTTTATTTATAGAAAGATAAGGCCATATAAAATAAATTCCTTGATTCTCATCACCGCCCGACGATATTTTGGTTTCCGCGTTGATATATTTTTGTATTTTGTTATAAAATATAAATTTACCGCCCGACCAAGCATCTTCAGAAATTTCGTTGTTTTTATATTTTATATTGGAATTTTTGCGATATAAAATTGTTTTATCGTTAATATTGCAACATGTTAAGGGATGCTTGGAATACTGAAGGAAAAAATGGGCTTATAGCCTTATTAGAACGATTTGTGTGGACCCTTATGCATGTTCATTAGCGCATGTGCAATTATCCACTTATACAGCGTTCTTCTATAATATATTTCCTTAATATATAAAAAGACATCCCTCTCCAATTTTTTAAATTTTAAACTTTTTTTTTATATTTTGACATAAAATATAAAATATAAACCTCCCGCCTCCTGGGAGTTTTTAAAATTTAGCGATGAGAATCAAGGAATTTATTTTATATGGCCTAATGAAATGCTTGATAGCCTTGAACCCCTTGATCCATATTCTCTTCAAGATCTTTTTGTTGGGCATAATTATGAAAGAATAGCACGACAAGGCTCGAAAATATTTTCCTTACCTTGGCCATTTGACAAACTTTTTAGCTTACCATTACTTCTACAGTTTGGAAGATCCTATGGCAGTCTGCTTGACATATTAGCAAACATCCATAACAACCCCCATATAACTGCAAGTTACATTAATTTGCTAATTACTGGCAGCTCAGGCCAGTTTGCAAGCTCAGTTTATGACTGTTTATCAAACCCACCAATGGTGCAGTTTGAAAGTATCGCGAAAGTTCATGTGCCTAATAGTAATACACTATTATAAATACATATACTTGAGAAAAAAGTCTAGAGATTATTCATAGCTGCAGTATGTTATTCTATTATAAATCTTAACTCATTTTATAGCTTTTTAGCCATCAAATTGTTGTAAGACTTTTAGCCATCAAATTGTTATAAGACTTTTAAGTCTTATAACAATTTGATGGCTAAAAAGCTATAAAATGAGTTAAGATTTATAATAGAATAACATAAAAAAACCCAACTAACTATTAAAAAAACTATTATTTATTATTATTATTATTTATTAACTATTAAAATAGTTATATAGAACTATAGTTAGTTGTGAACTGTTATTATTATATTTATCTACAGTGTTTAATATACGGTCAAATCTTGCATTGCACCCACTCGTTTACGAGAAACTTTTGACATTTTAGGAGCAACTTTTTTCAATTTTCGAGCAACGTTTGAGCAACTTTTGAGTACTTTTAGAGCAGAATTTCAGCATTTTCATAGCATAGTCTGTAGAAGCCTAACTAAGACATTCAGTTTATGAGTGGGTTCCAAGAGGGTCCTGAAGAGGGGGGGGGGGTCCCAATCCCATTTCCCACCTGAAATTTTGGCAAAATCCCACTCCCAGTTGGATTTTTATTAGAAATCCCAGTCCGAGTTAGTGAAATCCCAGTCACTAAAAAAAGTTATGTATCGGTAGAATAAACAGTTTTAAGCTAGACCTTTTAAGCCCCGTGTGTGTGCATCGTGTGGCAGAAGTGGTTAATGTGCTGTCTCCTGCCACTGAATTAAGCCCGTTACTGCAAGTCGAGGACATGGGATTTACTTCGGACCATTTCGGTTAAGTAACTTGTTTCCGACATGACGGCATTTTTTGTTGTACCTTGCCTTTGAGGTATATACTAAGGATTAAATGAAGTACATACTGGAAACCTGGCATATATTCCGCTGTGCATCTGACTTGGGGACACGCACAATCAGAAAACCCAGAATTCCGGGCGCCAGAGTATGCCTGTTTGCAGGTAGTGCTGTGAATAATTTGTGAACAAAATTGTATTTTAAAATACTTAAAAAGTGGGAAAATTGGGAATCAACTCGCATTACCTCAATCCCATTCCCATTTTTGAGGACTTCATTTCCCATTCCCAATGGCCAAATCCCAGTCCCAGCAACCCAAATCCCATTTTCCCAGTCTAAAAAGAGATCAATCCCAGTTCCCATTTTACCCCTCCAGGACCCTGTTCCAACATCTTCGAAAAAAGGCGCTTGCAAAGAACTGTTCTACGTTCATAAAGAGTCATTAAGTTTGCTTTAAGCAAACATTCAGCATAGGTAGTTCCAGGAAAAATAATTTTTAATGCCCTTTTTGGATATTTTCGACTTGATCACTCAGGTACTGAGGAAGGCCGTAATGCCACACCTGACAAGCATATTCCACAGTTGGTCGAATATGTGTGCAATAGTTCAATGCTGCGCTCCTTCGCCCAGCGGCTACGCTCGTGTTCCAAGATCCGCCATGTAAAGTGTAGTGAAATGTATCTCATCGTAATATTAAATCCTAAGAAAACTAAAGCCTCTGCGGAGGAGAGAGGTTCAATGACATAATCAAATCAGACATGTTAATAGCAAAATAACCAAGAATATAGGAATTTTATTTCAACTACGACGTTATCTTAAAATACACATGTTAACTAATATTTATTACACTCTTATCTATCCATATCTGAGCTACGGCTTAATGAGTTGGGGAACTACTTACAAAAGTAAGTTAAATCAGTTATCATCAAAACTTAACAAGTGTGTTAAGTGTATATTTTTCGCAAATAGACGTGAAAATCCGAGTCCATATTACAAATTACTTGGGATCTTAAAGCTGGATAATTTGATTAAATTTAAAACAGCAACATTTGTCAGTCAAATAAGGAACAGAGGTAATGAGATTCCAGAACTATTCTCAGAACTGTTAGTATCTGTATCTAGTGTGCATTCTTATAATACAAGGTATGCATCCCAAGATAATTACTATCGGCCAGCTGCTAGAACAAACTATGGCAAATTTTCATTTTTTTGCTTCTCAATTATGGGAGACTAACCGGTTTTCCTTAAATCACTCCCTTTTAATTCTTTCAAAAAGGAATATAAAAACTTTCTACTTTATAATCAGGAATAATATACTACTTCAGATCTCTTCTACTTTATCTCGAATATTTATATATTAGTTTTATTTTCTTGTGTTTGATTGCTTATTTGTTATTCTATACTAAATAAATTGAGAGCTAAATCGGCTTACATTACTCTGACATTGCGGCAACCAGTTCGAAGCATCGGTGACCCCCAAATTTCATTTTTAAAAATGATTTCTCTTAGTATAATTAATTATTTTGACAAATTAAAAAATTCTGTGTAGCCGAAATTTTTTAAATTACGTAAAGGTGATTATTCATAATATTTTTTTTGGCTCCACAGAATTGTTTTAAAGATGTCGTTTACGAGTTGAATTACTTTAAAGCCCAAATATCTGCCATCTTGAAACGTCATTGTTGCCATAGCAACAGCAGTTGCGCGACTTTTGTGCAAAAATTCAAACTCTTTAGATGTTGTTTTATATAAGTATATAAGGTGCTTTTTGTTTATCAACAAGTAATAATTGTCCACAAATACGCATCTAAATCGTGAATTTTCAATTTTTTTTTAAACTGTATTGAGCCACCTTAAAACATCATTTGCATTGCGAATTGTCGCTAAAAATTGTCCCTTGGGACAAAGCATTAAGTGTTTTTCCACGTTTGACGCTTCCTCGTTCCCAGGGCCTAATTTTCAACGAGTGACCGAGTGAAAATGGCTCTGGGGACGAGAATGCGTTTGACGACATTGTAAAGGCACGTTTACACTTGCAAGTTTTGCTGCGATTTTCGTCTTCTGACGGACATGAATAAGTGGATGAGTTGTGAATGTTCATATAAGGACTGAGGAGAAATGTTCACATAAGGGCTAAGATTCGCTCTGGACACGTTCCAGGCAAAGATCAAGATGCTGAGCTGGTTCTGTCTGTTACCGTCCCAAATGGGAAAATCGAAAGGAGGTTGTTCTGCCACGCTTACCAGCAAGGGGCGTGGTCCTACAATTCAGAGAATATTTTCCTCCCTGTGGAAACTGGCGCACCTGCCACTGGAAGCAAGGGAAAAGAAATTAGTGCTACACTTGAAATTGATGCCCAAGGGATCAGAGGCATCGTCGCGTCAATTCAAATTGTTGGTTACCGCGTTTTATGACAGCACTAATATCTCTTGAGTTACCGCATATAGAATACTGACAGCCATATACTAGTTAGCTGAACGTTTCCAGAGTTTACATTATAAGTTTTATAACAAGTCTCATATTTGTCAATGTCATGTAGAATGTAAACTTCTTTTGCGGGTTAATAAAATGGAGAAAATATACGGAATAGTTGTGTGGCCTACAGAACAGATCTGGAGTTGTCAATAGACCTTTCTTAAAGCCCGTTTACACTTGCAACTTTTGCTGCGAGTTTTAATGCGATTTTCTTCTTCTGATGCACGTGAACAAGTAAATAACTTACGAATGTTCTGAATGCATGAACTCCTTATATGAACATTCACGACTCATCCACTTATTCACATCCGTCAGAAGACGAAAATCGCACTAGAAATCGCAGCAAAACTTGCAAGTGTTGAAACGTGCCTTTACAATGTCGTCAAACGCATTCTCGTCTCCAGAGCCATTTTCACTCTGTCACTCGTTGAAAATTAGGCCCTGGGAACGAGGATGCGTCAAACGTGGAAAAACACTTAATGCGTTGTCCTAAGGGACAATTTTTAGCGACATTTCGCAATGCAAATGATATTTTTAAGGTGGCTCAATACAGTTTTTAAAAAAATGGAAAATTCACGATTTAGATGCGTATTTTTGGACAATTATTACTTGTTGATAAACAAAAAGCACCTTACTTACATAAAACAACATCTAAAGAGTTTAATCTTTGCACAAAAGTTACGCAACTGCTGTTGCTATGGCAACAATGACGTTTCAAGATGGCAGATATTTTGGCTTTAAAGTAATTCAACTCGTAAACGACATCGGTGACCCCCGAAAGAAACTTTATCTAAACACTAGCCCCCAGAGGTTAGGAAGACCCCCCACCTCACCACCTCCTAGTTAGGTCGCTTTTCTTTGATGCCCCCTCCCCCCTCCTCAAAGAAATTCCTAAAGGAAGGAAATCTGTTCGGTAAAAGCGGTGTCCTCTTAAGAGAGTTATTTGGGGATTGACTGTATCATTATAAGGATGACGTTTATTGTTAAACTTGCAACTCTCAAAGCACACAGAGATTTGCCGGCTTAAAAAATAGTGGTCAATGCAAGGTACATATAGTTTACAGAAAGTATATTTTATTTAATGTCTAGGAACATGTACACATTATACTGCTATCTGACTGACCACGAACATCCAACAAACTCAGCTGCAAAATGTAGTTTATAAATTTGTTATCATAGAGTCAAAGAAAATAGTAGAAAGTGTGCACAAAAAGTCGGATAAATGTTCTAAAAATATTTTCTCTTTTAAATTACCTTTCATTTCATTCAGATATCTTCACGAAAGTTGCGCTGAGGATCACTAAAGCCGGTTTCCATTAGGCGGAATTTTCCGCGAGGAGCGGAATTTCTCTTTGTCTTTCTCTTTCTTATTAGTTCCACCCGAGAAACCGGCTTAAAGCCGGCTGTCCACTAGGCGCAATTTTGTGCGCAGACCGGAATTTTTCTTTGTCTTTCCCAATTAGTTCCACCCAAGAAATCACAAGACAATCCGCTCCGTGCGCAAAATTCCGCCTAGTGGAAAACCGGCTTAAATGGTTGCTTTCTTCACGTCCTCTCCAAGCAGCCGTGCGCGCTTATAGTGATCCCTCGCGCAATCGTCTTGATAGGGCCTGGTACGAGGCTGATGTATCGCTTATAACAAAAGGGAACGAGGTTTATAATAAAGCTTCAATGTCGGGAACAATATCCTTAAAAAGAAAAAGGTTATTTAAACTAATTAAAATTAAAACTTTATTTTCGCCACACTAACCACAAACAAAGACTTACTTTGACGGAAGTCAAGAAACCTTGATATTATTGTATCGGCTACTGTTATGTGTAGGCACAGAAATCACAGTCAACAAGGAAATCATTAGGTTCCCATCTCTCTGCTATTGTCACCTTCTAATATCTGTTTGTTTAATTAAAGCTATCGGCAGTACCGGAGGTAATATTGTTGTATCATATTTTGGCCGTTGTGGGTCGACTATATATGTCTCCACATAGCGTGGGTGCAATATAAAGCAAGCATGCCTTCGTTTAATGAATTTTAGAACATTTTATTAATTACTGCCGGCAATATAATATACTCCAGTAGCTTCTTTATTTTCCCCACGCCGAACTCTTAGCCAATCCTGATTTCCAAGGGGGATGTGAAGACAGAAAAACTATGTAGAAAACATTTAATTACAAAGAATTTGTTACACTAGCATATAAAATATTGACTGGAATCAAGAAAGTATATTAGGACGGGCTGGTATCAGAAAATAACCCGTTAAAAAATTAATTAATGATGAGAACTATTTCTGAGCTCAAGTGGTACGACATTGAACGGCATTCAATTGACTTGCTCTACTTAACCAATACTTTTTCACATACTCAGTTTTAGGTTTTGGCAAATACAACTTAAGATCTCAGTTGCGAAAATTCTTGTTATGTTCATGGGAGAAGATGGATCAGTTTCAATGATTTTTTCAATGATTTGAACCATTGTATCATCAATACTTGTGCGTGAGTAATTTTATACATGCATGACTCCGGCTTTCATATATAGTTACTCTGGTTGGTTAACGTCCTTCACAGAAATATCATTTAAGGATGCTTCTGACTGACCATGTTCATTTTTATGTCCTAAAACTACCATTCCTGCTCTATGTTAGAGTCCCTGGAGCTTGTTCAAAATCTTTACTACATACTTAAAGACTTTACCCTCAATCTTGGTGCTTTCTTATAATCAACTATCCTTGGGTTCTCTGAGTTATGTCCTACACTCTAAAAACACCCTGGTTAAATTTAACCAATATGGGGTTAAATTTTAACCAGGAAAGTATTCCATATGGGACCGACGCAGTCCTGGTTATATTAACCAGGAAATCCTGGTTCCATTGATTAACCAGTTATTCCTGGTTAATTTAACCAGGAAACATCCTAGTTAAATTTAACCAATATGGGGTTAAATTTTAACCAGGAAAGTATTCCATATGGGACCGACGCAGTCCTGGTTATATTAACCAGGAAATCCTGGTTCCATTGATTAACCAGTTATTCCTGGTTAATTTAACCAGGAATTACTGCTAAAATTTTGACTTGTATCCCAGTTAAATTTAACTTGTTAACGGATCAAATTTATAATCTGATGTTCCTTGCTTCTTTGACATGTTTTTCAACACAAAATTTGTACTGAACAGGGTTTATTTTTAGAAAAATTCACATAATATTGTTAAGTACTAAATTAACTAAATAATTGTCTTGTTTTTAATTTAAATCAAGGATCACGCAAGAGGTTATTGTAGCTAATATAAAAATATTTTCAAAAACCTCTTATATGATCCTTGATTTAAATTAAAAACAAAACAATTATTTAATATGAACAGAGGTGAAAGTTTCAGAAAAACAATTAAATTAACTAATTTAACTATTGGAAGGTTTTTGTAGTTTTAACACTGCATGATCGCCAACAAAGCCATTTACTTTAAAGCTGCTCTCATTGCAACAACAGCTGGGGTTGTCTTTCCTTTCACCTTATCTTCGATGCCATAGAGAACTTTTTGTATGAATTCCCACGACGAAGAGCATTGCCAAGGATAATTAATATCCAGGATGTAAAATACTTTAAAACAAACATCAATTGCCTTCGTAAGATTAGGCTGCTCCAAGCCCTGGCCTTCGATGATAACAAAAACTTGTGTTGGGTTGTAGCGATTACCGATTGCCAAAACAAACGGGCATCTTGGAGCTTCTTCTAAATATTTTGGCATGTTTGTACCAACCTAAATATGAGAAATATTTTAGACCTTTATACGCAATGTTCCGAGTTATCATACTTTAAATGACATATGATAATGCATACCGGTTGGCAATCGATAAAAGCACTCAAAGCTTCATCAATTGTACATCGTTTTCTATTCTTTCTTCCAGTTGGGAACACGCATGGAAGAAGACCAATTGCTGCATTTTTTCTCTCTTCATCTATAAAGTTTATTTTGAACCACTGCTTTCAATTTGAAAACTGAATTTAGACCTTTGATGCGAAACCATTTCCTATACTAGCTAGTTATTATACTTTTCTTACCAGATTTCAAATTCCTTGGAATCATGTGCAAGTACGTTGTCCACTTCTCTGCTTGTGTGTCTGCATACGAAATAATCTTCTCCACAATTGGTGGTGTCAATCGCAGAAAGAGGTTCTTTGCAACATCTGCGTATAGTGTTCTAAAGTCTATTTCCACCTAAAATATTAGTAATAAAAACGAATTTGTATAAATAATGTATATACATAATTCCAGGAATGTTTCAAAATTTTACAGTACCATGCCAGGGGTATCGAAAAGACGTGGGTATTCCTTCATAACTTCTCGCATTGGAAGGTCTGGGGTTTTCCTTATCCATTCTGCTCGGTTTAAAACCGTTTTTTCCATATAGTTCTTTAAAGTTGATAAAGGTTCTAAGTTTGCTTTCATCCAATCCTTCATCCCATTATGGTCTGATTCATTCAAAACAGGATCTATTCGAAAACAGATGAAGACACAATTTAATATATCCATCATGGAAATTAACCCCAAATAGGATAATTTTAAATGAACGAAATCAACCTGGTAAAGATGTTGTCAGGTGTGTTAATGAGGTTGAAGCTGTATTCAGATCTTTTTCAGTTGGACGGTGTTTAACACTCTTTCTCCTTACATTTCGGAGTCGTTCTTCCAACCATCCTGTAGCAGAATGAATTCCCTTTCCTGATGTGTACCACGCTTCCTATATTCAAAGAAATACAGTTAATTATTATGTTCCACTTTATAACCTGATGATGGCGTCAAGACGGACTCCGTTAAGACACTCTCGATTCGACATTACACATTCAGGGGCCAGTTGTATCAACTGGCTGTTTTCTTGTATAACCCAGATTAAATCTTAATATATTTATAAATTGGAGTTTCTTTTATCATTTGTGGGCTCTATATCAGTAGTTTTATAGCTTTTAAAGCACTTTTATGCGGGTTGAAAATTTGACTATCCTGTGGATAGCGCTATCCGACCTTTATACAACTGGCCCCAGATATTTACAACAACATACTTACATATCCTTGACCCTCTTCATCTTTAAGGAAAGGGAACTCCTCTACCACTGACTTTGCCATCTGGATTTTAACGTCTGCATGGGGTCTATATTAAGAGATATCCCAGTTTTATTTTTCAAGCTGGACAATATTGGCTATGTGCCTGTAATTACACACAGATTATTTGAAAGAAAGTACATTTTGATGACAAATTTCACACACCTCTCCAAAGCGATTAATTATGTAAGCAACCAGTATCTGAACCATCTTGATTCTGCTTTTTCTGCTTAATATATCAGTATCCAGTTCAATAATCACTTGTACTCCAATTTCCGACTCTTCCAAAATTGATCTGACATTCTTTGGTGGAAAGAAGAAAGCATTTCAAAGCTGTGTATCGCAATTCATTGTCGTTCTTGTGTCCATACTTACAAAATTCATCCTCGATTTCTTTGTTGGTTGAACGTTTTGAGTGCTAGCGCTCTCAGAAAGTGCCTGGTCGACAGCTAGAGGCCGCTTTGGTTCATTTTCGATGGGTTGATCAAGATGTTCGGGGCTTGCAGGTGCCTAGATAGGATGAAATATTAACATTGTAAGTAAACTGATTATGCAATTATAGCAATCGTAAAGAGTTTTTTTTGCATTGTTCAAAATCAACATTTACTTTCAAAATATTTAATAAATTTTACACCGTAGCAGTATATCTACGAGTTCAATAAATTCACAACACGAAATATGCTACTACTAAATTAAAGCCTATACACCTATAAGAATCTTCAATAGGATTTTTATCAGGCCTAGTTAACAAATATGGA